GAAGTCTTTACTAACACTTTGTATCAATTTAGCACATCCTTGCTGAATAAAAGTAATTTAAGGGGGTCTGAATACTTTCCGTACCCACTGTATATAAGCTACCATACAAAAGTAGGCATCAGTAAGTTTTGGGTATTTTTTTGTTGTTACAAAAGATTTCTGTTTCAAAGAAATGCTTTTTTTTGTTTGTTGTTTTTTATAACTTTCTATTCATCAAAGAATCCTGGGTTCTCACTTTTAAAAGCCTATTTATTTTGCTGTGCAGGGTTATATGGATAGTTAATTTTATCATTACTTTTAGCATAGTTTTTTCCCCTATCAGAACAGACCTGTGAAGCATTTTTGGGTCGTGACCCACCGGTTGAGAACCACTGCATTCAATTCGAGCCCTGATTAAAGAACAGCGAGATTATTCAATGCTCCTCTTATGCTTCAGAGTGAACAGCAGGGTGTAATGATTTGCTCATATTTCAGCATCTTGAAGGAATGCTAATAAACTTGAACGTTTTGAATCCTAATATTGCTCTGTATATATTAACGCTAATATATTCTGAGAGCTGAGCAAGGAACATGAAAATCATGATATTTCCGGTCTTCGTGGGGAATGTGAGTTATCCAAGCATAAGGGTAAAATAATACGCTTTACTTTGATTTTGTCTTTGCGTACAATTACAGTGAATCTACTTTTAAGTTCTTTCCACTGACAGGCGGCCAAATGATCAATCACAAACACGCTGACTGTAGATCTCCCCTGATTCAATTCGGCTGGAAATTAAAGGCGGGTGAGGAAGCAGGTCACATGGTCTTTACAGATAGCTAATACAGACAGAAACATGCAGCGCACTTTCCGTGAGTGGCACGTCCACAGAAACGTCGTCTGGGTGTTCGATTAATCTCCCGGCTGCCAGAATGATCTAATTGTAAAGCCAGGAAAACATGGAGTAATTTAGCACTAGAAATGTGGGAAAGAAAGAATTCAAGGAAATGGATACAAATTAGACCCGTCTCGGGTCTTTGGCCAGGAAATTAACTGGTAGCCATTAGTGTTAACCAGTGGTGTACCAGTGTCACAGGAGCATCACAGCACCAAAGCCTCAAAATACTTGCAGTGGTACTATACTACAGTAAATATCATTGATATATTCATACATAGCTAACGCAACACCACAGGGAAGTAAATTACTTTTCTAAACCTTATATAAAAAGCAGTATGTATAAAAAAAAACATGAAAGTGAATAAATTCTAATCAGATATATTTAAGCAATATCACTGGAGCAAGAAAAAAAAGTGGATAACGACTTTTAAAATTGGATTTGTGATGTGTAAAACAATTATTAGAATTAATTATATTGTATAATAATTAGAATTAATTATATTGTATAATAATTAGAATTAATTATATTGTATAATAATTAGAATTAATTATATTGTATAATAATTAGAATTAATTATATTGTATATATATACTGCCGCTCAAACGTTTCGGATCAGTAAGATTTTGAAAAGAAAAGTTAAAAAGAACAGCATTTTTTTTCAATATAAATCTTTTGTAACAATAGAAGTCTTTACTAACACTTTGTATCAATTTAGCACATCCTTGCTGAATAAAAGTATTAATTTATTTTTAAAAAAGAAAGAAAAAAAATTTACTGACCCCAAACTTTTGAACAGTAGTGTATATTGTTACAAAAGATTTATATTTCAAATAAATGCTGTTCTTTTAAACTTTTTATTTATCAAAAAATCCTGACAAAAGTGTCACAGGTTCCAAAAAAATATTAAGCACAACTGTTTCCATCATTGATTATGGATTAGCATGTTAGAATGATTTCTGAAGGATCATGTGTGACACTGAAGACTGGAGTAATGATACTGAAAATTCAGCTTTACATCACAGGAATAAATTATATTTTAAAGTATATTAAGATAGAAAACCGTTATTTTCAATTGCATAAATTATATTTTAAAGTATATTAAGATAGAAAACCGTTATTTTCAATTGCAATAATATTTCACAATATTACATTTTTTTCTGTATTTTTTATCAAATAAATGCAGCCTTGATGAGCAGAAGAATCTTCTTTAAAAAACAATAAAATTCCTACTGATCCCAAACTTTTGAGTGGCAGTGTATATATATATATATATATATATATGCACAAATTATTATATATTACTGGTGAATAGTTTACAGGCTGCATTTACTGAATCAAAAATACAGTAAAAATTCTTTTTTTTTTTTTAAATGTAACTTCTCCTGTAATGGCAAAGCTGATCTACAGCTCAGTTATAAACAATTAGCCGATAATTAGTTCTTGAATAATTATTCATAATGGCTCTTATTATTATCAATGTTGAAAACAGCTTTTGCTGCTTAATTTTTTAACAGTTTTTTCCCCAGATTCTTTGATGAATATAAAGTTCAAAAGAACAGTGTTTATCTGGAATATAAATCTTTTGTAACCTTTAGAATGTCTTTACTGTTACTTTTGAGCAATTTAATGCATCCTTGTCAAACAAAAGAACTTTTTTAAGGAGAAAAAAAAAACGTACCCAAATGTTTGCTTAATTTTTTTTGTGGAAACCGTAATGTACTACCATTTAGTGAATCACCATTTAGCAGTACATTTTCAGTCAGACCACATCAACCTCTTTCAAGAACATAATTTAATGGAAAGCGATTAGAAGAACCCAGTGGGTGATCTAGATCTGTAAATATGATGGCGACTAATGCCTTGGAAAAAAATATAAATTACACTTGAACCCATCTAGCTATGACAGCCATTTAAAAAGAGAGCAAGTAAACCTACAGTATGCGTGAGGACGTCTGACAGGCAGCATGATATACACAGTATATCACAACAGTGTATGGAGCAGACGCACATGTTTATTTTCAGTCGTTCAAATGGCATTGGAGGTCTATATTCACCTTTAAGTGCACTTGAACAATGACAGAATGATAAATATGTATACTGTGCGACTGGAATCAAGTAGACGTGAGGTGAAGAACTAAAGCATTTCTGATGGCCCTATATATAGCTTATTAAACACGTCTTCTTTTTTTGCCACAATAATCACAAAGCATTGAATGAAGACACCAGCATGCCATGATGAAGAGCTTGATCACCACCAATCACTCCAGCAAAGCAATTAAAGAGTCAGCACAAAGCATTTTACTGTAATTACATCACACAAATCGACTCGGACAAGAGAGCACATACAGGGCCACATGCGAAATCAAATGCATTGGCAGCAGCTTTACAGTGACAGCTAGAGAGGCATCTGATCTCTGGCAAATAATAATAATAAATGTCTAAGCCTCACTCATGATTCCATTATGATTTAGGCGTTTATGGGCTTTTTCCCCATAAGAGCTTAAAAACAAATTAATCCATTTAGGTTTCAGCATCAATTCACCACCAATTCAATTTAGAATCATCTTAGCACGACCTTCGATGAGATTATTTCAGAGAAAATAAACAAAAAGTATATATCTTGTTCCGAGCTCACATATATGTACATACTAGTTGTGTGATAAATAACTCTCAAAAACCTTCAGCCAGTGGGGGTTTTTAAAGTCAGTGTAAAGGCAGTTCAGAGAATTCTTTCTAAACACATTATAAATGTTAGAAATGTATTACTGAAAACACGTTACAAAGACTTTGAACTATGTAGTACTGGAAATTTTCACCATTTTTGTGTTCAGATTTATTTTATTTTTTTTGTTAAGTTATTTTGTTTACTTGCCTTTTTTTTTTTAAATCATTCAAATTTGGCTGGGTGGTTAATAGAATTTTTCTGTGGTGTGACCAACTCCGAAGACATTTAATATTGCGTTACACTGACTTTAAAAACATTTTTGTTAGGCAGTCAGGATGTGTGTGCGTGTTAGAGAGACATTCACAAAACAAGCATGAAAAATATTGTTCGCTGGAGTGTTAGAACGGCTTCACCGTCCATAAAGATAGCGTGCATGAGTCAGATGTGGGCTGCTTTCAAAATGTCCTCTTATGTCCACAAATAATAACATGAGAGACTTCGCAAACATTCGTATTTACCTTTTCATAAAATAACCCACAAAATCCATATTTCTGCAGGAATAGTAAATTCATATCAAGCAAAATCATAGTCCACTAGCTGTGACTGTACACACATTTTACACAAACACTGAAAGATGTTTGTAGACAGATCACTTGAATCAGTATGAGCATCACGACTCGGTGTCAGACTGTGCTAAACGCTAGGCCCTGGCTCCACCAGCATGTGTAGTCAGAATTTTGCAGTTCTAAACATACTTTTTATATAGTTTAGGTATTCTAAACGCATGTTATGTTTACAAATGCATTTTGCCAGTCAGCTTAAAGAGCTGTTGTTTTTAAACAGCCTTGATTTCTAAACACATCCACCATATTTAATCTAAACCAGTGGTTCTCAATTCCAGTCCTGAGGTCCCATTGCTCAGCACTTTTTCTATGTCTCTCATATCTGATGCCCTTGGTTCAGTTCATGGATCCCCCTCCTATAATGAGCTGATGATCTGAATCAAGTGCGTTAAATAAGGAAGACATACCAAATATGCAGAGCAGTGGTACCCCAGGACTGAAATTGAGAACCACTGATCTAAACGAATTACGTGATAAGCACTTGAACTGTGAAAACACATTATGTAATGAATTAAAAGCATGTAGTTGGTGGCCTAAAGTAGTGGTTAACACTTTAACATGTTTATGCGCACACGAAACGAGACTGAATCTGCATTTCATCTTGTCCCAGCCCTGATTTTGTGACACAACACAACAATTTTTCAAACCAAAATGGCTGCCACTTTTCCTGTCATCAAAATCATGGCCTCCTACCATTAGCATGAAATCATTAGCAGTCCAAAATACTGGACTCAATAGACAACACTGTTTTCAGTGATGACAGTAAACATGCTATGCTCTACAAATCGTATCAAGCACGGTAAACAACAGCTTATGAATGTTAAAGTAGGACTTACCAGCTTTTAAACATGGCTCCACTAACATGATGTCACTTCCTCCTGATCATGTAATTTAAAGTGACAGTTCGCTATTATTTTGAAGTGAATAAACCCTAATATACTGTACACACAGACACACATCATATATATATATATAATATTCATAAATATCTGTAAATATCCATCTGTATTGCAAATGACCATCAGTCTCTATCTCTTCTATCCCTTTTTTCACAAGTTCACAAATCACAACGCACTGGATAGCTGGCCAATCAGAGCACACCTCGCTTTTTCAGACTGATGAGCTTTGTAAAAATCGACGCGTTTCAGAAAGGTGGGGCATAGAGGAGAAACAATAATGTACAGTATGTGGAAAATAATGTGTTTTTTTTTTTTACCTTAAACTGCATAAACACATTTCATTACACCAAATAATGTTCTTTTTAGCAGCATCATATGACCCCTTTAACAACTCTATCAGTATTCTTTTGCTGCCTTGCACCATTTATATTTCCTTTAGAAAATGCAAATCTGTTATGCACATGCATAATGAAATCTTTTCCCAAAAGTGTCATCTCACACAATTGATTTCAAAACCTCCCTTAATTCTAAATGACAAACACATTATAAAATCTAAGACAAAAGGAACAAATCTATTAAAATTATGCTGATTGCCATGCCACTATAAACCTGACGTGGGAAGCACAATTCACAGGTAGGCCTAAATAACGACCCTTCTTCTCTTGAAGGGCTTCACATAAATTAACATGAACTCCCAAAGATGCAGGTCTCTCCTCCCAGCTGCTAAAACATCAGCGAGCAGTCAACCAGTGTAGAGATAGCTGTTTTGACTGGTTTTCAGGCAATCTGAACACAGCAAGCAACAGATGTTTGTTTGTTTTTTTCCTCTTAAAAACATACAGAAGGGATAAAATGTGATTGTGTTAGCAATAAGTGCTCAGCTCTCCACACAACACACAGGTGGTGAGAGTTAACATGTGGAAGTCGGTCAAGATCAGTGATCTCTTAGAAACCTGTTTCTATTTTGTATTAGTTTTTCATTGCGAAGAAATTGTGTACAAATAAAAAATCATCATATGCAGGACAGTTCATTTGTTTATTAGGCTACTGTATACATTATTGTCATCCATGTTGATAACAAAACAACAGTACAGTATATACTGTATAAACATAGTCAACACATTAGCATGGTTGTATTGAAAAGCAAGACAGAATACTTTTTTTTTTTTTCTGTTTGGTGCCTCTATGAACTCTGTTCTGTTCTAGGATGTCTTCGTCTTGTGAATTAATCTGCACTGTGTATTTCCACACAAGATTGCTCACAGCTTCCGTTCCGTACTGAAAATCAATGGACATGCAGATGGACTCCAGTTGAAACGCTGCCCATTCCTCTAACGCTGACTGAAGAAATCTCGAACACATTTTCTGAGTCTGACTTCTGCCTGGAATATTTTTTGGTCTGTGTGGCTGAAAGGGTTGAGACATTAGATTGCAGCACAGGTTCTCAGATGGAAATGTGAGTGGTGCCTGCCTGTGCAAAACTTACTGCCAACATGCTAAGGTGTTCTGGGTGGTTGCCATGGCATTGCAATGTGGTTGCTAAGGTGTTCAGAGTGGCTTCTTGCTGCTCCAAATCTAAAAACCTGCCCCCAAATATATAATATTCTGGTCTCTTGACAAGACTCTTTAAATGCAAGTTTAAGAGATTTAATTTCTCTTTCTCTAAGAACCCATTTCATCGTCCTCCATGTGAAATTACTAAGTCTGATCACAAAGAAACATATTAGCACCCCTCTCCTCAACACAATTGAAAACTTTTTTAAAACCTACCATTACAAATCCTAGCAAAGCACTGAGAGACCGTTTCTCATGTGTACCTCTAGCAGGAAAGAGCTAGGCTGTTAGTTTAAGGTACATCTGATACAGTATAGATTACATAGTGTTTTTCAGCAAAATCAATATTAAAGAAAGAGATTGGATATAAAAAACCAACACAAGCTCAGCTTGCTTAGACACAGCAAAATGTTTGTTTTTCCCTTAAGTATATCAGTAAGAACATTTTGATTGCTAATGCTATGGATGCTGACTCCCTTAATTTAATGCCACACTGCTCCCAGCGTTCGTATTACAGGAATATGAGCACGAACAGGAAGAGAAGATCTTCACAAAAAGAAATGTGTTGATGTTTAAGTAAATGGGTCTGGCTCAGCACAACCTTTGGCAGAACTCCAGTTAAACCTTACGTTTCAGAAACGGGAATTTACAAGTCATTTGATTTGGAAGTTAAATGACACAAAAATGAAAATTCTGTCATTATGTACCCTTATGTCATTCCAAATCTGTACAACTTTATTTTGTGGAACAAAAGTGTGAATTTTAATGTATATTCTGGTCACTATTTTAGTGTAATGAAAGTGAATGAGGACATGGTCTGTTAAAGGAGCACTCCACTATTTTTGAAAATAGGCTCATTTTCCAACTCCCCTAGAGTTAAACAGTTGAGTTTTACCGTTTTCGAATCCATTCAGCCGATCTCCGGGTCTGGCGGTAGCACATGAAAAGTTGCGATTTTCTAGGCCGATATGGCTAGGAACTATACTCTCATTCCGGTCTAATAATCAAGGAACTTTGCTGCCGTACCATGGGTGCAGCAGGTAACTCAACTGTTTAACTCTAGGGGAGTTGGAAAATTAGCCTATTTTCAAAAATAGTGGAGTGTTCCTTTAAGCTTCAAAACAACAAAAAAGATATAAATAGTCCAAATGATCTGTGTTCTATGTTCTACAATCCAGATACTTACTAAAGCTCTGTGTAAGGAATAGACAATACTTTAAATGATTGTTCACTGAAAATCTTGACAACCCAAGTTCATGTGACAAGTGACAACATCTAATTTGAGAACAAATCATTATTTGCATCTAATCTTTTTAATGAATCATTTGATGATTAATTTCACAAAACTGATTTTAGTGATTAATTCATGAATTGGTCTCCAATTCTTATTTAACTCAGACAGAGTCGGTCATTTAATCACTGTGGTTAACAATTCTCAAGTCCCACAAGTCTTCACTCAAAGTAATCCTTTGACTTGAGAAATACACAAGTCATACAGTATGGGCCACTTGTATGGGTGCTTTTGAAACTTGAAAGTCATTGTTAGTGCATTAAAAAGAGGGACCTATATATTTCTTTAGTATTTTTCCATTTGAGAATGAGGACTGGGCCTGTTAAGTATGTTTTTAAAAAAAAGTGTCTAAACAGAGAAGTAGCAACATCCAATTTGTCAATGCACTGTTAAAGTCTGATATTTTCAATGAATTAGTTGATTCAGTTCACAAGACTGGTCTGAATGATTTGTATATGAATTGGTCTCATCCACTTAAAGTCAAACATCATTCAATCACTCTGGAGGAGTCTCACAAGTCTTTGCACAAAGTTATCGTTTGACTTCAGACATGCAATGGACCACTTTGTATGGTACTTTTTGAAGCTTGAAAGTTCATTGTAATTGCATTAAAAGGAATGTTTCTCTTTTGTGCTCTTGGGCTAAATGGTGCCAATTAAAGTCGCCTTGCCCTCTTAGCAATGTCTAATGTGCAAGAGTGGAGCCTTTCCGTGTAGTGTTTACATGCTTGTGTGCAACAGTGAAAGACAGTATTGTTGTTTAAGAGATAGATGTTACCAAGCACAACTATCTAATGAAATCTCTCAGCCGTTCATTTAAGTCAATTTAATGCCTGGAGATTCAGGTGTGAGCGACTGGTTTTAAATTTGCTGCCTGTCTTCTCACGGCCAGCTGAAGGGTAATACCTCTAAGACATTTATTTTCATACACGTCAAGGCTCAGAATCATTTGTTGTAGCATAACAGGAAGCCGTGAGAATACTTTCGCAATTGATGGAACTGTCAAAAAACACGTTGTTTGATTGATCACATTTCAACGTCACATCACGTCATGCCAATTTCAGATGCGATCAGGTTGGCTGATGGATCCTGGGAGAGAAAACACAAGAATTCGAGGTGAGGTGATACTGTTGCACATCAAGTTTAAACCTGAATTTTTTATTTATTTTTTCCTAAGCAATCTGACTGTTTGGCATTGTCCGTCGTCTGGTGGAGAAAGGTAGTCCAAAGAGAGTTAAAAATAAGCTCTCATGCCAAAAAAACTCACCTGTCAAAAAAACCTTCCACCGCCCAACAGCAGGTAAAGTTGACCTTAGCTAGATTTCCAAATGATGCACTCCTGTTAAAACTGGAGAGGTTTTTCAGCATCAAACAGCATACATGAAACATCCAGATGACCTTCCAACAAAAGGAGGAGACTTTTGATTGTTTGAAGGACTGGAGGGAAATCAGGAGGTCAGGTCAAACGCACTGCACATCCTTGACAGATGCAGCAACTATAATGAATCTCGAATCAAATACTCCAAATAAAAGCTGACGGCGTCAGCTGAAGCCTGACAGAATGCGAGCATGTGGGCTGCTAAAATGTGGAGAAAGAAAAGGAATGTGTTAAGAACCCGTGAGAAAACTGAACAATGGAACATCGGAAATCAGCTTCCTTAAGTTTATTTTGTGCTTCTCGAGCAATTTGCAGATTCATCTTGCAACAAACGACAAATTATACAATCCTACTTGTAATCAATTCATACAGTTGAGCTTCCCCAAATAGACGTCTTCAACTCAAGGTTTCGGGCTCTGCTTTAGCAGCGAGACCCTGTGTAAATGCACTTTGTCTCAGCGGTGAACTTGTACAGAGCTCGTCCACTCCGCCTCCCTCACTGTAGTACATTTCCTATTTGGAGAACTGTAATGTCTAGAGGGAAAGGTCAACCACAGACAGTATGAGTAATGTGAGAGAGAAACGGGGGGGGCGAGAGGACATCACTCCGTATCTGAAAATCTCTGTGTTGAGGAAAAGGTGCATTACGTGGCTGAGAAGAGCTTTGACACTCAATACTTTTCCTCACTAGAATGAAATATCAGAAATGTGTTATTATAGATGAGCTGTGTGAGTGTAAAGTGGATTTGTTGGCTAAAAACAAAACAAGATCATTTTGAACATGTATGTGGCATGACAGAAGATATTCCATGTAAAATATGGTGCATAGCAACGCTTGATGGCCATTGACAACAGGGAGCAGTTTGATTTGAATAACCGCTTGGAGAAAATAAGTATTTCTCTCACTTGCGTGTCTCAGAGTCATGTCATATTCTTCAGACGTTTATTCGGGAAGTGTTTGATAACCTGTGACTAGCTGGATGTCTGACAGCATATTTTAAACAATGGCAAGAGAATGCAAATGGGCGTACTTAAAGTCATGAAGGCTTTTGATATAGACCACCTTCAGGTGTGATAACAGATGTCATTAATCAAAGATTTAACATACTGTAAAAGCGTAAGCTCCAGTTATATTAGAAATATGAAGCCCTTTCACCACATTATAGAAGCAAGCTCATTTAAGTATTTCACAGAGGGGAATCAGTTTGCCTAAAGACACATACACACTAGATCTGCTCCATGTCAATGCTGCAAATCCACTGATGGTGTCATTTATATTGATAGTTTTAATAAATACTTATCTAAACATTTATATTTGGAATCGATTGATTTAATTTGCAAATTATTTCAAAGCAGCTTTATAGAAAGTGTTCCAGCAACATTTTATAATAAGGTTAAATTCATCACATTAATGAATGCATTAGGCATCACTAACAATAAACAAGATTTTTTTCAGCATTAATCTAGGTAAAAAAATGATACATGCTATTGCTCACCATTAATTCACGTTCCATGCGTAAACGTTTAATTACCTTGCAATAATACAGTATATTAATAGATTAATAAATGCTGCAAGTATTGTTTTTGTTAGTTCATGATTCCTTATGCTTTTAACAACCTGAACCTTGCTGTAAAGTTTAACTGTTGTGCCTTAACCCAATATAGCCTGTATCATATTTGATGGGCTACTTTCTGAGGCCTCTAAATTATCAACATAAAAACTACTACATGCTTTCTTTCATCTGATTGATTTTTTTTTTTTTTACTTTTTCAGCAAGCAAAACACCTTTTCTTGTCATTTGAAAAAACGTCCATCTTTAGGTCATAGACCTGAAATGAATACATTTTCTTTAGTTAGTAATATTTCAAAATATACACTTACTGAAACTGCACTAAATTACATGTTTTTACTCCGTTTTGGGCCTCTGAATAACTTTTTTCTAGGAGTATGAGCCCCATATTCTCCTTATATCACACTACATGATTCATAAAAGCATGATGCTCAACAAAAAAAACAATAAACGGTTTCAAATCAATAAATTCAATTTCTCTGAATATTTCATGACAGGCTTTTAAGCTCTTAAAACACGGTCTGTTGCAAATTTAAAAAGTTGCTTGTAACCAAAAGTTGTATATTCTTATGTGTGCCGTCATGCATTTTGGTATTGCGCAAACGTGACTGTGTGGAGGGTTCTTTTGTGCTTTTGGAAATCCAATTTCCCTCTTGATGTCAAACTGACCTCGCATTTTCTCACTCCTCTACAACAAACTCCTATTCGGTTACAAATGACAATGCGTGTAGGTGTTATCATTTTTTTTTTTTTTATGGTCCCACTTTATATTAAGTGGCCCTAATACCTGTGTACTTACATAGTAACTAGATGTGTACATAGTATGTACCCACAGTGTAAGTACACATTGGTACATAGTATCTACAGCTGTAATCTTTATGTTACTACACATATGTAACAACCGACTGTATGGTATGTGTAAATACAAATGTGTAACAGGACATTGGTAACAACACTTTTTGGTAATGAAAGTACAAATGTGTAACAGGACTAACAACACTTTTTTTGTGAAGAAAGTGTTACACTTTCCATGTAATTACTCGGATGTTACACAGCAGCGGCCGACCTTGTCTCAGATGACCACCGGGACAAGACCACAGGAACCAGATGATTCCTCTGCACAATGTGACATTACTGCAGCCTGGAATTGAACTGCTGGTTTCGTTTGGTCAGAGGAGAACTGGCCCCCCAACCGAGCCTGGTTTCTCCCAAGGTTTTTTTCTCCATTCTGTCACAGATGGAGTTTTGGTTCCTTGCCGCTGTCGCCTCTGGCTTGCTTAGTTGGGGACACTTCATTTCCAGCGATATCGTCGACTTGATTGCAAATGATTGCAAAGATACTATTTAAACTGAACTGAGCTGAATGAAGACATCACTGAATTCAATGATGAACTGCCTTTAACTGAAAAAATTGTGTTTACTATTGTCATTTTGCATCATTGACACACAATTTTCCTAATTAATGCTGTTCAGTTGCTTTGACACAATCTGTATTATATTGTTGTTACAAAATGTAGTTATATATGTCCTGTTACACATTTGTACTTACACAAACCATTCGGAGGGTTGTTACATGCGTGTAGTTACAGAAATATTAACGCTCTAGATACTATGTACTATGTGTACTTACACTGTGGTTACATACTACGTACACATCTAGTTACTATGCAAGTACAAAGGTATTAGGGCCACTTAATATAAAGTGGGGCCAAAAAATTAAAACAAATCCCAAACCAATACTAAATCCACAGGAACCTCTGACATGCAATTAAGTTGCAATAAACCCAAATCGAATCAAAAATATCTCTCAAGCCATCTGTCACGTAACCTCCGGTGACCCAACACACCGTTTATAAATGCAGAAACAGGTAAATGCGCTTCTGCCAGGATCAGGTTGGAAGTGCTGAACAGCTACTTCAAAGAAGTCATCACACATGCATGCATAATAGAAATGTGTATGCATGGCTAGAACGCAGCTGAAGAAGCAACACTTTACCACCCACTGCTCTGACTAATGTGAAAAGCTTTTTCCCGTTGACCAGTCAAATCTTTGAGCAACTCCATTTGAGGTCATACGCTTCTCGCAATGAATCAAGCATTGCAAGAGAAACCTAATTAACATGAACACAGCAGCACTGAGAGATGTTTTCCTACCCAAAGATATATTCAAAAGATGAGCCAATAACTCATTAACTAATGCAGCCTTATGAGGAATATCGATCGCTGTGATTTGGAAGCTCCTTCGGGGCGTTTGGGGAGATTGTGCTCAGTGGCTCACATACTTCTGGCCCAGTCTATCCACACCCATTTAGCCCAAGAGTTCTCCAATTTTAGTGAGCGCTCCTCCGAATAAGAGGTGCGTTGATTCATTTAATCAGTGTCTGAGTCATGGAGGGGTGGGAGGATGGGAAGGAGGAGGAGAAGAGAGGCCTAAGGCCAGTCTTCTGAATTTAAATAAAGGGCTGAAGATTGAACTAGCTCGCTCTCACACTCTCATTCGCATTTAGCTTTGCCCTGCAGCTCCTTGAGATCACTGAGGGCATTATTGAGATTCTCTCTTTAGGCAACTCTAGTGACTGCGACAAGCAACTAGTTTGACTTTGTTTCTCGAGTTTCACATCAATTCAGTTTTCCATGCAGGATCATTCATTTTAAAGATATAAAGCATTAACATTCACCAAACTTAGTCTATTTTCCAGTTAATCAAAGGATAAAACAAAAGAGTTATCAAAAAGTTTATTAGGCACAGCAAAATACAAAGACTTTGGTCTTGAGACTGACACTAAATCAAAGTCTGTTTTTCTTTTATAGTTTCATACCAAAACAAGTATTGCAAGTGTTACAGTGAGTTTGCATAGGCATGAAGAATGGAAGGAAAAACAAAAATCACACGGTAATGGGCAATATCAAAGCCCTTAGTGTGAAATATATAAAAAAGTCTTCTTGTAAAATACACTTAAATGTTTTAAAAAATATACAATAGTCATCTAGAAAAGGGGGAAACGTACATATAAACTGAGGCAACGCCTGAAATTTAACATATGCCCCTACCTGTCCTCAGGAAGAAATCTTGTGTAAAGATTGAGCAGATTAATGCATTCAAGTGTAAAAATATAACATTTGCTTTATAGACCTTAGTGCACTCATCATAGCCACTGCTTATGAAAAAAAAAAAAGCAGATTGTGGACTAAGGTACAGGAATGCGTTTAAATGTGTACTCGCTAAATCTGACTGATTTCAAGGCTCAATCTACTTCTGAAGCATAATCTACTGAAATGCGGTAAAGGCCGCTTAAATACTATCCATTGCTTTGAACTCGCTCAGGGCCTGCACAGGGTTGATGTGCTTCTTTTGAGAGGACCGCTTCACTTTGTTGGTCTGACCGTCATCTTGCTTCTCGCGTTTGACCAGCGGCTTTTTCTCGGGAGCTTTCATCTTCCAGGAGATGGCGGGCATGTTGAGGTTTTGCATTCCTTGAGACTTCTGGTACTTGGTGGAGGCCACGTAGGAGGCCTTCACAGTGGACACCACAGAATTCATCAGATTCTTGGCTGCCTGAATCAGAGACATAGCGCTGTCCACCTGCAAATTGAGAGGAAATTGAAAAGACCTTTAGAGGAGTTCCCACACTTTCTGACCAATGAATCAGCATTCCCATGACACTTTCAGTCGTTCATTATTATTGGATATGGAACTGTGTTTTCTAGAATTTGACAGACTACTGGGACATATTTCAGCTTGTATGTCAGGCACTAATCTTTTGAATAAATACATTTAAATGATCATAATTAATACCATACAAATGTCTTCAATTTTCTAGTTGCAGGTTTGTTTTACTCTACACAAGCATTTAAAGCACAATATCTAGTGGAAATATTTTATATTTAAAATTTATATTCATTATAGAATTTTGAAAGACTTTATTAATTTCAACGTTACATTTTTTTCAGGTTTCCAAATACCCTGTATTTAACCCAAAAATTATGTCCTTTAATTTACAACCAGCTATTCTAATTAATTTACCAACATTTATCAAAATAGCTGGTTGTAAATTAAAGGACATAAATCTTTGCAGGTAAAACTCTTCAAAAACTACATTTGCTTTTACAGGGCTAAGATTTTGACAATACAAATAAAATCAAAGACAATCTAAATACAATCCTTATATATATGCAACAAAGTAATTTAGGATAACAAATTAAAATTAACCAAATAGTACGTTTAAAAAGAGTTTAAAATAAGGGCTGTAAATAGGCAAGCTGAAAGTACTATTAAGCTGTAAAACAAAAAAAAGGAAAATATATTCGCTTACCAGCATGATTTGTTCTTGTCGTGGAGGTACAGACGGTTGAAAATAACAGTAATTTTATTTTGTTTCACATAATTAGTTTTTTTGCCACATAGGCACAAGTCTGCCTTTCTGTCCTTTTCTCCCTCTCAGTAAATGAGGACTTACCCCAGACACCACAAGCTCTCCACCCAGATTCTGCACCTCTGCTTTGACTTTACTGCAGATATTGAGCTGGTGACAGTACAGGGCGATACGCTGCAGATAGGCCAACAGATCCTGCTTGCAAGCTGAATCTGGACACTACAGGGAGAGAGAAACACAGCAGTTACTTTCTGTAAAACACAATTTTTCCACATTGATTATGGGGGAAAATCTGAGTAACATTTAAACATGTTAAAATGTGTTAAATGGAGCTGAGAGTGCTACTATAAGAGTTATTGATAGTTGAAAACAAAATTAGCCAGAATATTTAAAAAAACGGAAATGCGAGGGGCAGGGACATGTAGAAGCGTGTGAAAGATGGGCGTTTAGATTTATTCGCTGTGGAAATTCGTGGCGCTTTGAGGTGTAGACTCTGTGTGGGCCTAATGATACAGATGCACCATTTAATAAACCTGACATGAAAACACGTCGAGACGGATGGTGAGTCAGACAAGCATCTGTACAGAAATACTTCGACTGATATCTAAAGTGAAAAGTATGTTCAACACGCTGGTTGTTTTGAGGATCTTTGACTGTTGCCTGCAGATACCCAAACGCTCCACAGTCACCTGTCCAGCTGCATGTGCTAGTCAAATTCACTTGATTCCCCATCGTGGCAGGTGATCAGGCCCACCGAGGGCTCACAGCCAAACAGTCCTTTTCATTTTACAATAAAGAAACACAAATCCTTGTGCATCAATCAGAAGAAAACCATCCTATATGTACTTGCTCTTAAAGGGATAGTTCACCCAAAAATGAAAACTGCAACGGTTTGAGTTAAAAATCTTTGTTTGTGTTCTACTGAAGAAACAAAGTCGCCTACATCTTGGATGCCCTGGGGGTAAGCAGATAAACATCAAATTTTCATTTTTGGGTGAACTATCCCTTTAAGGAATATTTTTGAAGTATAAACCCAACCACAGTTCAAGAGCCACAATTTGCAAATTTCTCACCCAACAGTTCATCTTGCATTAACAGCTAGCTTATTACTAATTTTCAACTGCAACATTTACCGATTTAACTATTTATGCAGATATGTATCAGGGTGGTAAAGTGCTAAGTGGTAAAGAGCCTGAACATCAAAAGAAAGAGTTGTTAAGGGCACCCTATATAATTAAGGGTCCAAAAGAGATGGTAATGCAACTCTGTGGTTCAAAGATAATAAAGTATGCATACGTACATAAACCCTTATTTAATAAAACTCCCACATTCTAATAAATAAACAGTTTAAAACTTTTTTTAATCGCACAAGAAATAGCAATTTTCTTGAAATGTAGTCATGTGACTTGTTACTAAAGTGCTCACTTGATGGATGCAGTCGCAGTGGGTAAATCTGAAGACAACTTCTTGGGTTTTAGCGTGTTGACCGTTACCGCAAAACTTTTTAGCATGCAAAAGCACACAGCACACTGTCAGCATGCTGAAGATGTTGAATTTGCATCTTTCATTCCCTTTAAAGCACCTCGGCTCCAACACAGAATAAAAAAATAAATTAGTCATGCTCACTAATCAATTAGTTGACTAGTCCTGCTCATTCCTATGTGTGTAAAATAAAAAGCCTGCACTGCAGTGCGGCCAACCGTCTGAATACATCACTAGCTCCATTTAGTTGTTGGTGTAGTAAAAAGCACAGTACTTATTTTTCCCCATAGTTTGGCCATCCATTATCAATACATCACAATGTTTCACCAGTCTCCAAGGTAACAATAGTTTCTTCACAGTGATAATGTTCAAAGAGTCTGGCCCCACATCTTTGCATTGAAATGCTCTAAAAAAGCAGGACTTGAGGGTCCCTGCACATAATTACACCAAGCCAGCTTCCCAACAGTGCCTTTATCTCAATAACTCTCCCCCAAAATGCCATAAAGCATTTGAGAAAATGTCAAATTTCCATTATTTTAAACAACAGCTAGACTGTAGATGCACACTTAAGTTGCTTAGGGCTGGAAAGACACTCATAGATGTCATATGCATAATTCTGCGACACAAAATGCACCAATTACGATTTTATGTAAAATTCTGGTGCACTCAATTTAAGACCTCAGTTATTCAGCCAAGTTAAAACAGTGCTTAGTTAGCCATAATGTATTAAAAATGGGGCACGAAAACCTAGAAAATGTGAAGTACTCATGACAAAATGATGCCTGTTGGAAATAGAAATTAGGCCTAAATCAAGATGGTCATTTAATGAGTCTTCAGATTACAATACCTACTAACACCTCTTCAAAATACCTCAATTAAAATAACTGAGGAAGATTAAACAAGAGTGACAGTGCTGATTTACTGAACGATAAACAGGCAACTATATTCAAGCAAGTATAATTCAAAAGGCTCTGAGAGCATTTTGCTAAATGAGCTCCCGGTATCCATCCATTTCAATGTTTGAGGCCAGTAACTCAAAATATAAGAGTGGAATATAAAGCCAAACTTGCAGAGATGTGCCTGTGGGAGATTCAAATAAAGATACAGCAGAACACAGTGTCTGAGTCAGGCCATCTTCACCATACTTTAATAATCATCAGTCTGTCTATACACCCCACTGAGAGAGAAGGGCAGATAGACAGGCACAGACTGTTAGAAACAAGAGAGAGCGACAGGAAGACAAAGGGAGATGGGAGACAAGTGGGCGAAAAGAGAGTGGGATACCAAGAAAAAACTGGTGAGAAACAGGAAGAGAGTGATGGAGTGATGAAGGCCAACAGGCTGCTCATCTTTCAAGACAGCGTGAGAATTAGCTGCCATTTGATCAGAGCATTTCCCTGAAGTTTGCTTGTTAAAGGTAAAGTGAGATGTATGTGCTACTACAGACACAACATGGAATGTAAAAATAATTGGTTCCAAATTGTGTGTATAAGCATGCATATATATAAATGTACAAAAATAAGGAAAAAAATACATTTATATACACTAACAATTAAAAAAAAGAAAAAAAATAGTAAATGACAGGAATTTTCATTTTTAGGTGCACGATTCCTGCTATAATATGCTATAAAAAGGCACTTTCTTGGCCTAGGGAAAAGGTCTGCTCTGCATCTACTTGCCCTACAGTATTACAGTATTTGCTGACTCTATGACTACAGGATACTGTAAAAGCATTTGTGCCAAGGGTTGAAGGAGAGGATTACATTCACAACAATACAAAGCAAGAATTTTCTTGCCTTTGAGGGCTTCTCACCCCTACATCTTGCATGTTGATCCAGCAACAAATCTGGCTATGCTTTGAGCCCCTGCAGCGCTGCTAGAATATTCAGCTGTGTAGCTCTGACTGCTTTGGCGTTTGCAGTTTCCACTCCAGCTGGCTCAAAGCATTCTGGGATTTGTAGTAAAGATTACCCAGCTGGGTACATCATCACTCCCCAGTGGGAAGTCAGGATGTTTGGGCATGTCTGGGCAGAACTATTCCCTCTCTCTCTCTCTAGCTCATCATAAAGAGGCGGCAGGGGCACAAGAGTGTCCTTATTCGAGCACAGAAAGCCAGAGTGCCGCCTCTCGTCTACTTTACTATTCCACCAGTCATTAATAAAGCTCCAAATTTTTATCAATCACCAAGCTGCTTTTCTTCCCTAGAGCTAGAGAGCTTACTGCAGAGGAAGTGAGACAAACAGCAGAATGAGGCGGAGAAAGGGAGAGGGTGAGGGTGAGGGTGAGAGTGAGAGTGAGAGACAGAGAGAGAGAGAGAGAGAGGACAGCGGTGGTGAATCAGAACACAGGCCTGCTAAAATGAAACCTGCCAAGCATACCAATTAGAGGCTCGACTCCTGTTTGAGACAGCTCGAATTGGCCCTTTGAAAGCATCACTTGTGCAGGCTCAGCTGCAGAATTCATCCAAGTTGAACAGGAAATGCAGCCTGCCTTGACCTAGACGCATGTGAATACATGATGCACATCAAATAAAAGTCCTCCCTGCCTTCTTGAAACATTTTCTTCCTCCACCTGCAAGGGATGCATGCAGATCACATGCAGTTCTGCCGATGTAGTTGATTTGTAGGGTTGGGTATCGTTTGGGTTTTTTACGGTACCGGTGCCAAATCGATACTTTTAAAACGGTACCGGTGCCTGAACCGATACTTAAAAAAAAAAAAAAATACCCAAAATAGGATGGATTGGCCATTATTGAGCGCTATAAACATATTTAATGTCTGTTTCATGCATACTGGACGCCAGAGGGTGCCCTCGCGCAGAAACTCCACATGTGCATCACAGAAGGAATAGGACTCAGGAAATCCCTATACTAGGGGTGTTCGATTCCAGGTTTTTCGGAGTCGACTCCGACTCCAACTATTGGAGTCGATGGAATCGACTCCTCGACTCTATTTAGCGTGACTGTCCAAATTAGTCTAATTTATTGGTGGTGACATTACCTTTAAATGAGCTATCAATGATCAACATTGTTATAGCTGTTGCCGACACCTAATTTTACAGAGGGAAAAAATCAATTAAAAAAAGGGCCGTGGTGGATTATTAGGCTATGTCAGAATTAATTAAGGTATTCTTTAATGAATTTGTCACATTATAATGGTCAGGGGATGGGGATATATTGGCTTAAACAGCATTGATATTAAAAATAAATACAATACATGTAAAAATACATACGAATGTAAACGTATTACTTTTTTATTCTTGTTTTGTCTATTTTTGTTGTGCTGCACACGCTGAAGTGACGGTAAAAACGGTAAAAATGAACATGGATTGTAAAATGAGCATGGAAATGTATTAATTACACCATAAATGCAAATAAGTAGGCCTAAAGACTGTTTTTTTTAAAAATTATTATTATTATTATTTTTGCAGTTAACACGGCTTTTTAGCAATGGGGGTAAAGCAAGGAAAAAATACCCTTTTAAATAAATAGCTACGCTACGGCAACATAGATGGCACTCGTGGAGTTAGAAAAACTTATTTATGACCAGCAGGATTGTAATAAGGATGTAATGCAAAAGAAAAGGAACGAGACGGCTGTTTCTGTCAATGGTAAGTTTTATTTTAAAATGTTTGTAATAGCCTACTACCTTTTAACGTAAGAAATGTAGACTGCCGGCTGTGTTTACGTTTTGCCACTTGCTTGAGTATCTTAATAATACATATATACAGAAGTCATT